AGGATGATCCAGCCTTCCTCTTGCCAGAGCCTTCCATTGCACTTGGAAGATAAATCTAATGGTTAATATCCTGCTCATCCTCTTCAAACTGGTCAAAACCTGATCTCAGCAATGCCAAGGACATTTTTTGTCAAATCAAAAGGGAGCTGATTTGGCCCATGGGGGCAACATGATGGACAAGTTCATCTGATACCTGAAATGAAGAGCTGCCACAGCAGAGCCTCCTGCTGTGCAAGGATGGTGCAAAACACCTTTCAGGATCCAAGTCCAAAAAAACAATATATGCAAACAACAAAATCCACAAAAAATTTACTGGAAAGCCCTAGGTAAACGCTGGTGTCATCATCTGTGTCTCATCCCTGAAATGTTCAAGATGAGGTTGTGTGGGGCTTGGAGCAACCCGGTCTAGTGGGAGGTGTCCCTGCCCATGCAGTGGGGTTGGGACTAGATGATCTTTAAGGTCCCATCCAAATCAAACCATTCCATAATGTGATGTGGAACATTCAGTATTGCTAAACCTCACCCTAACAGTTGCTTTCAGTAGGAATTTACTGGTTCTGATTCAGTAAATTAAAGATACGAGTATGTGACTACCCCAGGAGCTTAATAGCAGAATGAACCACTGCAGGCTTTGGCCACACCATGAGTGGCTCAGGCAGCTGTCAGTCATGGCAGGGGGTGTTTCCCTGGGGACACACTCACCTCTCTGTCCCATCCCGTGGCAGAGCAGGGGGTTGGTTGCCTTGTCCAGCCATTACCCACCAGCTGCCGCTCTGCCTGGTGAAAGCCAATGGGAGGCACTGGCTGCTCTCTCGGCAGCTCTTGCAGGGGTGGGAGGTGGACCCTGCAGCCAGGGCACGCAGGGCTGTGGCCAAGGTGCATCTTCTCTGAGGTGGCCGATGGGCCCCTGGGGTTCTCCTGCTCCTGCTGGGAAAACTCAAGAGGAAAATGCATTTGTGATGCTTCAACCTGACAGACTCCCCTAAATTAGGAAAAGGAAGTATCAGTGTGTATTTGGAATCCCAGCTCAGTTTCTGTTTGCTTCAAAGTTACAACAGGCCAAAAGGCATCACTTTCAACCCTTCCCTTCTCCTTCCACCAGAGTGGACATGTCTTAACGGAAATATCCTGGGAATAGCTGCACAGCAGGAGGGAGGTTGGTGGCAGAGAGATGGGCAATTCTTGGGAGTCTCACTACGAAGGGTGCAGAAACTCTGCAGATGGCCACCATGGTGCCAAGCACAGTGCAAACCCAGCCCAAACCCTCATCTCCCCAGTGCTGGTGTGGGAGCAAAGCACACCTTGGAGATCCAAAGCACCTGAGGCCACAGCTTGCTCTCAACCTGCCACAGCAGCACAGTTCTCTGAGGACACACTTGGGTGGAGTCCTGATGCTAGGACACAGCTCCAGGGTATCTTCTACAGCACAAACGGTGCACGTGGGGTCACCACTGCATCTGAGTAGGTTTGGGAAATCGAGATGCTGCATCTTTATGTGGCTGATGCTGCAACACAAGCATTTTTCTAAACATGTCCAGTCGGGAACATTTAGGATATTTGTCTTTCTATAAATGTTGAAAATTTATCCAACTCCAAAACTCTTTTTGCTTGAACTGATTAATTTACTTTTGTTTACCCTGCCCAGAGTGGTTCTGCTTTCAAGGTAAAACACACATGCCCACCCAGGGTAAGTATTCAGCACCTGACACATCAGATGGTCTCTGTGCACCTCCCAGGCCTGGTTCGGGCAGGGGACTTGCCCGAGGCCTTTCCTCAGCCCAACTCATCCAGCTAATATCCAGCCTCTGCCACACACACCAGCCTCCCGCTGATAGTTATGCAAGTTTTAATCTCATTGGAAGTTACAAAGATACTTAAAAGCACGTTGTCCCCAGTGCCCATTGCAGCACAACTGGATTATTTTTCACACCAGACACAATTTACGTGGCATCTAGCTATCCTCAGCCAAGGGCAGGACCTGTCAGGGTAACAGGGGGGCTGCAGAACTGGCCAGGAGCCACAAAATGAACAAGCACAGGGGCAGACTTCAAAAGCACAACTGCCACACTTTTTTGTGTGGAATGGAGTTATTTTGCCCAACGATTGAGATTTAATAAGAAAGGGAGAAGGAAAATTATCAGATTCAAATATGCAAATAAGGTATTTTAATTTGGCCAAGTAGAACTTCACCTCACTCTCATCAATGTAGCGTTGCTGGGCAGTACCTCAGCTCATTTTTAACTGACTGGCTGCAGAAGCTACTAATTAATTAATCGATCCAAACTGAAAATCTGGACCAAAAGTATTTTCCCTAAATGATATTATGGGCTACATCCAGTAATGGGTACCTCACTGCAGGAAAAAGGAGAGCTGAAACTCACCGCGCAGTTCTCAACAAGACGTTCCCAGCCTGCATCCATGCGGCGTTACCGCTGTACTGCGAATGTAGCACAAGGCACGTTGATGGATTTTGGTCACTTTATTAAATGAGATATTAAATAGTTTAAGTTTCAACTACTAAACAGCACTTTGAATGGTGAAAACACAGATAGTATATCGTCATACTTGAATGCTTCTTCTCTTTAAAAACACATTTCCAGTCCTTATATATATTACAAAACAGCCTTATAGGAAGAGGTGACACCTTTTCTATAGTACTTAAGATATTTAATACAGAACTGAAAAAGCCATCTAATAGAAACAAAGGCAAGTCTTCACAGCTGTATGATTTCAGCAGCCAAAGCTGGTTGATGGACTGAAACATTACTATACAACTGGGACAAAACATATACAATATCACAATACTAAGCAAAAACGCTTTACATCCAAAGGAATAAACAGGTTACAAAATGTGGAGAATTTAGCAGGCAAAACTGTATTACAAGCAACATTTTTATTCGTCATCTTAAGCCATTTCTTCTAGTTAAAACATCTAAAACAAATATAAAAATGAGCCTTTTATTACCTTACTGATGTATGTTCTGTCTTTAAGTATTTGTTAAAGCTTGATGTTATACTCAAAGCACATTGTTATGCAGCTAAAATGTCAAGTGAGAAACATGTATGCAAAGTGGTCCAAGTTTTATTTCAATGCTTATCTCAGATTTCTTCTTATGCGTTAGTCTTCTGTTATCCATACTTCTGTCCAGAATGAAAAAAAAATGTGCCTTTAAATGTTGCCTAAAACTTCCACATTTAAGTCTTTGAGTTACTGTAAAACTCCATTGAACGTTCCTAGGTTTGGCAGAGAGCATTTCTCTTATTCACGACACATCGGAGTTATCGGCAAGAGTTGCCCAGAGTACATTTGCCTTCAAATGTTTGTCTCAAAGTCTCATTTTTTTTCTTCTCAAGTGAATACATCTCTTTTTGCTCTCCTCCCCCCAAATTAAATTTAATTGTAGAGCGGGCAAAGCACTAGAACATACTGAGGTTCTTTTGTGGTATCTTGTAATAAAGAGTCCAAGACAGCAACTTGTTAGCATGTTTTGCAATAGATCAAACAAACGCTGCTCAGATCACAAACCAGGTTTCCATCACAAAATGAAATATCATCTAAGATTTGCATATTTAGATGCAAAAACCATTTGTCCATCCAGGGCAAGAATTCAGATTCCTGCAAGAAACCTTCCAGAAACCAAAACAACTTTTATTCATGTCAGCAAGTCAGAAGAGTCCAGCAATACCTGGAGCAGATGCATCCATCCACTCATTTCTCCAGAGCTCTCTGTAGTCAATACACCATTGCCTCAAATCTTTGTCACCTACTTCTACCCCCAGTTTATAAACTGTTTTGGGGAAGAATCAACCAAACTATATTCAAAGAAAAGCTGTATTTGTATTTAATTAGATCTTCACAAGCACAGAAAATGTGGGTAAAGAAGAGTGCTAGTGATCTATAATAAACCAGAAATGTAATGTCTGGTCTCCGTTAAAAAACCCCCAAAACACAAAAGTCAGGTTCTTTGTGTACTAAATTCCTGTTCTCACACAACCAAAAGGGAAGGGGAGGAGTGCATAACCACAACTCTTAGCTAACAGAGAAGTTGTTTCACTGTTCTGGCAGATCTGGAAGTTGCTACAGCACTTTCTTTGTATGGATTTGAAATCAGCAATGGGTCTGCCATTGTAAAGTCACTTGTTTATCAGGGTTTGCCCCTGGCCACCATGGCTGTTCTTTTAACCCCCAAAATACCAGGAATTCACTTTTCTTGGCCCATCTCCCATTGCCAGCAATGGGGAAAGACAGTAGCACCAGCATTAAGGAGTTAACAGAAATGTGCTTTGTAAATCAGCGCGTGAGGGAAAACATCTCCAGCTCTACTATCACCACTTGTTATTCCATCACATGAAACTGAAAACAAAAAATGGCAGAAGACCAGGGAAGAAAAATCACCTTCCCCAAGTCACTATTTAAGGCTGTATACACAGTTTTTATGTAACTGCATGACTCAAAAGTTTCAGAGCAGTAGTATTTAAGAATATTGCACTCAATTCTGTGTCAAAGAGTATTTCCAGCTCCTGCTTTGTTTAGCACAGATGATATAGCAATGAGTCCAGACCTCAGTCAAAAAGAAGCTGGACTGTCTCTTGTAATATTCCCACTAATATAAAGAAATGGGCAAGCAGAAAAATATTCCATAATTTGAGGAATCAACTCTAATCAAGAACTCAGCTGTTTACAATTCACATGTGGTATATACTGAAACACAGCCCTGCAGTCCTTCCTAAGCCTCTCAAATCCGGTGACAGCTTCGCAGCTACTAAAAGCAAGCGTAGGAGTTTAGACAGGAAACCTGTGGAGATGCTACTGTTATGGGAGGACTTGTTTTCACTGAAAACAACTTGTTATCTCCTGTACTCAACATATGTAAGAAGATTCTAGGCAACATCACTGACAACAGGGAAAACATTATGTCCTATTTAAACAAAGCTGAAACACTAATATGGAACATGGCATTTAAGGGGACCAAGCAAACTATTATTTTTTACCTTTTTTCTTTTTTTTTTACAGTTGAGTTCTGTTAAGCCATTGATTCCTAAAAAAATAAAAGCTCTTTCTCTGATTTTAACAATCCTTTAGGCTTTTAGTGCAAAATCACATTGATTTCCCTTGGGAAGGCCCTGGATTTTTGCCTCTCATTGGGGGTGCTGCTCGTTGTAATGATGATGACTGCATACCACCAGACACTGACTGATACATTCCTCTCATATCTATCTGTTGGTAGTTGGAAGGATTCATTATTAAATTAGGAGGCTTTGGCATCATGAGATGACTCATTGCTGCTTGCTGGTAAGACATCTGCTGTTGTTGCTGCTGATTGTACTGCTGCTGTAGTCTTCTGTTCATGAGTATCCTCTGAACACAACTGATTAACTGTGGAGGGAAAGCAAAGCTGTGTTAAGCGCATGACCCAGCTCAACGCTGCAAGTATCAAGTTCAGAGTTAAAATCAATTTGGTAGGGATAGCATGGCTGAAGGAAAAAAGCACCATTGTTATCACCATCACTAATGTGATGGTATTCATGAGCTGATTACTGTAGAAACCATTTAGTAACAGCATTTAGGGCTAAGTTCTCTTAATGACTTGCCTATTGTATTGCAGGCAGCATTTAGGTAAGTTGCTATGGCAACATGCTCTATACTGCAAAATTATTCCCAGGTATAAGTTACAACATTATTTGTCAGGTACCACTTACCTTCCCTTTGAAAGTCCTGCATGTGACTGTCACTAAATGTTTGTTTACCTATGAGGAAAATCTCCCCATTGACATAATCTGGGCAACCCTTAGATCTGGCAAAATAATTCTTAGATAAAAATCCATTACCAATACTTTCAAAGAAGGAGGTTTCTTAAGTTACTTTCTGAACTCTGGGAATCAGATTTCTCTCTAAGCCTTGTGACCTGCAAGAAAACTACTTCAACAGGAAAATGTGGCCAGTATTTTTCTTGAATGAACTTCTCATGGAGTCTCTCTGGATGAGACTGAGCAATGCAACCCAACACAGTGCAGAGGTCACCATTTCCTGATGTTACATCACATGCACCCTTACACAACACCAGCACATACTTGACCCATTGAAACACACAGTCTGTAAGCACATAGTCATTAACCTGAACATACACTTCTATTTTATGAACACAGACATGCAAAATCTATACTCAACATACTACTTCAAACATGGACAGTCGATCAAATACACATTAAATGTTTTACCATCTGTTGTTTAGTAAGGACATCGGTATAAATGGCTTCTCGGCGCTTGACATCAAGCTCCTGGCTTGCCTGTCTGCTCAGTGCCAGGGCCTGCACTTGGCTCTCTGTGAGTGTTACGTTTTCTTTCCACTGAAAAGGAAAAAAAAAAAACAAAAAAACAAAACCCTCTTGGCACAAGTCATTTTAACAAAAGCCTAAAGGTAACTGAGGTCTGGAAGTATGTTCAGAGCTGCACCAAGAGTTAAAACACAGCCTAGTTCCCAATAAATGCAAAATTATACTTCACCCAAATCAAAACTCTGAGTTACTAGTTGTTCTAACTGCTAATTAAGATAATGCAGCTCTAAATGACTGGCAGCCAAGACAGACAGATAAGGACAAGGTATAGGAAATTAATCTTGTGTGTAATTACTATTCTTATTTGGAGAAAATCAGCATTTTCAGAGCATGACAGATAATTATGGATCTGAACAGCAAGCCCTGTAAAGCTCTAAGTCATCAAGACACCGTTGAGCGTTACTGCAAGCTGCAGGGATGAAGGTCAATACAAGCTGGAAATTATATTAATGATGCAATTAATTAGCTGATTGACCACATACAATAGCAATTTATTTGCCTGATAACATGTAAGGTTTTCTCATCTCCTGATCTAAATCTACAGTTATCCACTTCACTCACAATGGTTGAAATGATGTCTTCAAGGGGCTGAATTCTTGCTGCAGTTACACTGTTGGTTGCTTCCACAACTTTCTCTCTTCCTTGATTAATCAGGTCCTGAGAAAACACCCAAAACTTAATTATAAAGGACAGATACAAATAATACTTTTCTTTGCCAACCTTTTGTAAGTTTTCTTCATCTTTGCCTTGTGTACCCCAGAAATAAATTACTTTTCTTCTCTCAGTCTGCACAAGTCAATGAGTCTCAGCTTCCCCATGACTGAACTTCAGCAAGAAGTAACTGAACTGCATGTATAAACCTGCCAACTTGTACAGTGGACAGTATTTATAAGAAGTTATTTTGGTATCCAAAGGTTTTCTCATCATCACAGATATGCGAATTTTCCATGATACTGACTTTGATGATGTTATGGTCTCAACTCATTCTGCGTGCTCAAAATATTACCTTGTGTGCTAAATTACCTATGGCATAATACTGGCCTATATTGTGAATTAATCCTCAGGTATATTCAACACATCTCTGATTTGCACACTTTCTCAGAGGCTTTCCATTCTTCAGTGGAGTCTCCTCACCAGACACTAGTAGTACCGTAAGACAACTGTGCTGCAACTCCTGCAGCTTACAGCCTGGGATCTTACTAGGACAAAATGTCCTCAGCTCCTTCAGCTAAGTCAGCACACCAAGAGCTAACTGAGGAACAGAACAAGCATTCCTCTCTCCTGGTCCTCAGTCAGAAGACAGATGGAAGGATAAAACTAGATGTCGTATTAACATCTGCAAAGAATGCAGTTAATCTTCCCAAATCTTGAGGTACTGCACATGTATAGGTTTTTGCACACCCATGGTTTACTTCAGTATAGCTACACACACACACAGACCTATCAAAATTAGGAGACAATTACATAAGTATGAACATATTTGAGAATTACATTAACCACTATTTGTGACAGAAAAACACATGCCCACTTGCAGCAACACAAGACACACGAGACTGCCGGGACCGTGCCTTACCTCCAGCTGTTGGTTACTCATTGCAGACAGAGTCCCCAGATTGAAAGGAATATATGGTGTTTGAGAGTTGAAATTTGTGGGAAGCATATTGGTTCCAGCTGGCATGTTGAAACGCATAGTCAAGCCCTTAAAAACACAAAATGCACTTACATTTGAGTAACTCTGATAATTGATGGTCTTCTATAATAACCCATGGAATAGCAGATGCCGACACAGCGGCCCTTAGAGAGGATGTGAATGAAGGGTGTGAACTGAAGATCTTTTTTAAAACCTCAATTCAAAAGGACTTTTTAGTCACAAAAGAACCTGAGTTCTAGTCTTCAGTAATGTGTGAGTTTAGCTTAACTATCATTATTTGGTACACTAAGAAAAAAAATCACCAAGCCTTGTATCTGAAGTTAAGATGCAGTTTTTTATATTGCAAACCCACTACTTATTGTCGAGTTTGACCTGACTGTAACTAAATTCTGAAGAAGTGAAATGCTAATTTATTAGCAGACACATAAAGCTCATCTCCCACATGGATTTCTCATAGGACAGTTTCAGTGTTTACTGTATCCTATCTTCCCATTTCTTCTCCCTCACAAAACCTTCTCCCAGTACTCAAACACTGTCATTTTTTCACTCAAGATGGTCAGTGACAACTGACACATCCAGTTTGTACTTTCAGATTACTGGTCAGATCTGAGCACCAAACTTTGCCCTTCCAGAATGTTTTGCTATTAGACTCCAGTTACACCAAGTTATCGTATTTCTTTTACAGTAAAAATATCCCAAACCTGTAGCAAATTTACTTTTTTTTTTTTTCATTCTACCACCTGCTTAATATCAAATATCAAGATACAGGGAATAACGGAAAAAACAGTAAGTTTTTTGGCCATTTCTAGCAGATGCTTATGTTTGTGGGATCATGGCAAACAATTCTAAAAATAATAATAATAATAATGGAGCAAGAAATTTCTCTCAAATGATAAGAAAGTATTATACAGGACAGCAGCTGAGTTGTAGTATTAAATAGAAAAAAATGTGTGTAAAAGGAAAAATTAACTTTTAAATTGAAGTAATGAAGAAAATACACATGAAAAACCAGCAAGGAAAGAGCAAATAAAACACAGTATCTCCAGTTTTCATATGTAAAAATTTGCTTTAAATATCCATTTCTTGGCCTATAAGAAAATTAATTTCCCCCAAACAAACTAAAGAGGTTAAGTGCTACTTAAATCTGGAAAGGTTTTTGTACATATAAACCTGATTAGACAGCTTTACCTTCTTTTCTGCTTCATATTCTGCCCATGCTGCTTTTCTTTCCTCTTCAGTGAGTTCCTCTTCCTCCTTATGGTCCAGGAGTGAATCATGCTCATGATAGCCAACTATATATTCTTTATGGATTTGAAGTAATTCTGCCAGAATTGTATCCTGTTCAAATGAAGAGAAGATAAATGAGAACTCAGTAGCTCTAGTGTATTCACTCTGTCTGTGCCTAACTTGCTGCTTTGACCCAAACAGCAGCTCAGAGCACTTCACAGCAAAACAGAATTAAAAATTAATGTAAAAGTACAATTTTCCTCAGAGGGAGAGTAATGGATTAAAAATGTGTTACAGAGATGACAGTCCAATCACTTAATGAACCACAGGAATGCACTGAGATTCCGCAACAATAAATGCAGTTGAAGAACCTAAAAAGAATGGAATGTGCTTGATGATTTTTCCTTTGCTTAGGCTGGATACCTGAGAAGACCTATCAATAATCTGCATCTATAATATATAAAAAGCACCTCTACTGGATTTAAAACAGTCCTTTGGTCCATCAACTGTCCATCAGCACTGAACAGAAAAGGCTTTCCTAAAACCTCTAAGATGCACATCAAGATAAACAGTGCCCCACCAGTCTGGGTTCAGAAAGGTCAAATCACTGCTACAAACTGGGTTTGATCAGCAGGTTGCAGTTTCAACCTCTGTATTCCACAATATTCCCAATGCTTAAGTGCTTTTAGGTTAACTGAAATATTTACAGTGTCCTTTATAACAGCAAACTATTGTGATGGTTTTGTTCACTGGCATATGAACATTTTATATACCTGTATCTCTATTTTATATACATAGATAAAAGAAAGCTTCAATTGAGCTCAGCATTCAGTCTAAGATTTCTAATGCAAAAAATTCTACATAAATCCTGTTATTGTTTTTTGAAATGCAGAGTCACCAGAATGTTCAATATCTCTTACACAAAGCAAATCCAAACTAGCTGCCAACCAAAATCCTAAGTTGCTACTTCCCTTGTCTGAACTAAGATGCCCCATTACGATAGACCATTATCTCAATTAAAAAGTAATATAAAAACAGATAAACTGAATGTGAAAAGCTGGTATTTCAAGATAGGCAGTAAGGGGTTTACAGTCCTCATTTTCACTGAATCAACATTCCAGCCTCCAGAATTTTTGGAAGATGATGCCTCTCTATGTTAAAATAAAAATAACGCTGCAAAGGATGAAGAAAAACACATACTATAAGACTACTAAAACCTGCTCATGTTGCACCACAGAAGACCCCTTTTGGAGATAATTACTGAATACGTTTTTTGTTGTTTTTTTTAAACGCACTTGTATCACTGATGAGTTTGCTAAACTGAGAAAGCTCTGATACATCTCAGCATTCAGCCTAAGACCCATAATACAAAACCATCTCACTGAACGTTAGGACCACTCCTGAAATGAATCACACTGAAAAGACTTTTGGCAGTGGAGCTCTATGAACACCTACAGACCCACTCCACATCGTGCCCTTACTGTGCCAGACACACAGGAATAAATTGTCCTACTCTGACATTTTATAATCTAGATAGAAGAGTGACTGGAAAGAATGACTTATGCTCACAAGCAAAAAGGTTTTTGCAACAACACCGGGAACTGCACGTGGCAGTCCTGACCCAGGGTTTTGTCACAGCAGCAAGTTCTTTCTGTGTGTGTTTAAAACTCAATGATGTTAACCAATTATATAAGCTAGACTTTGTTACATCCTTCTACTATCTGGTCTCCTTAAATTTGAATCAATGCCTTCATTGCCAGCTCCTCACAAAATATTCAGTGTAACACCTGCATGATTAATAGGCACAAGGAACAAATGCTGGTATTTTTGAGGTGGTGGGAGAGAAAAGGGATGCAGTAATAGGATATGATGAAGCATATAGAGGAAGTGGGTGAAGAAGTCAAAGATTACAAAAGCAAGCTAGCACAACAGAAGTGCTCTCAGCATACCATAGCTGCACATCAGTGTGTGGAGGGTTCCTGGACATGCATATGCATTAATTTCCATGGTAACACTATTATTGAAAACAATACTGGAATATAATCCACACTCACTTAGCCAACAGGGTCTTCAAAATGTGGTTTAAATTACATCCAACTGTGTGTTTGCTTTTCTTTGTCTAAACTTTATTTTGCATTAAGTTTAGTGATGGAAGCTTGAAAACTGGGATAGGTACTTCCATTCAGTTTGTTTAATTTTACAATGTAAAAAATAAATTCACCTTACAAAATATCATCAGAATAAGCATTCCTTTTCATTTGTTTAGCTTGTTGACAGAATAACAATTATCCGTTGGTTTATGAGGGTTAAGATGAAATCCTGATGATTAATAAAAAAAAACAAACTGAAAAAAAGGTTTTGAATGTTAAGAAAAGTTTGTCTTTTTATAATCTGGATGGAAAATAAATGCTATGGAGAAATAAATGTATTAGAATGTGAGCTGTGTTGTAATTCATAAACAAATTTTTCTCAACCAACTGAACATACAAAACCAAGGTTAAAAATAAAATGAGATTTAAATAAGCAATAGATTCTTCTGATTCTGAGATCAACAGTCTTCCAAAATTCACAACATTGTCCCCTAACAGGGAACGACATAATGATATACCACATCCAACTGAATTTGAACTATTCCTCTAATCTGCTTTTCCAATCTGCATTACATGACCTCAACTGAGCCAAGTTTTTATTTCACATCAAAATGTGACTGTGACTCCCATCCACTCAACACACTGCTCTCGGGAAGAATAAGCAAGGAGCAGGGAGTGCAACAGTGCCAGCTCCGAGAGACATACAGTGACACCCCTTTTATTTTAAAAATCAAGTAGTATTTGTTACTTCACTCACATAACAGCTTCATTTCTGACTTTTAAAACAACATAGACTGAAATGCCCCAACCCATGAAAAGCAAAAGAAATGAAATACTTTTTCTTCTTATATCAAAGAAGTTGAAAAGCATGCTACAACTCAGAGTTAGAAGAGGAGCTCTCACACTCAGCCCTGAATCCCTGTTCCTCACCAGACAATTCCTGCTTGCACACCTGAAGAACCTTCCTACCGTGAGGTGTCACTCAAGTAAAGAAGTTCTCTGAGTTACACACTCCACAGAAAGCCTATTATCCTGCCAGGTTTTTCCACATTGATTGCTGAAGAACAGATGGAAAACATTTCACTTGTCAGAATTCCCACTAAAAATGATGCTTGAAAGGGGTCAATTCTGAAACGTGTGCTTTTAAATCTTTGTACCCACATTCTGAGGAATCTGTTCTTTCAGAACCTGCCTGTATCTCCACTGGACACTTTTCACAAATTGATGTATTTTTACCATGCATTTCACACCAGTGCTGAGGATTACACAAGTAATCCCTTACCCTACTGTCTGTCCAACAGTAAAATCACAGAGTGATAACACTGTTCAATAGACTGTGCTTTGAAGATGTAAGAGAGGCCTGAAGACAAAGAGAGACAATTATACACAAAACCTGTAAAAGGCAGAACCAAAGCCTTATTTTAGCCTAAATGCCTCTTTTGCTTTGCTGGTAATTATAAAGGAACAGCTCTGTCTTTGTAAGGAAGGGGCATAACACAGGTAAAGTTTTAGTCCATTGTTTGCAGCTGAGAGCTGCAGAGGTAAGGCTGGATGTGCTGAACTTGTCAGCAACAAAGCATTGGAATATCATGCAACATGATCTTAAAGAAAACTTTAATCTCCAAATGCTGTGTAATTCATCAATGTTACATGAAAATGTTTTTGTAAGCATATCAATAGTTTTTTTAATCAACCTTTTAGAAAAAAGGCTATGAATGTGTTGACATATTAATAATTGTCAAGAAATTTTATAATTATAAAACTAAACTATGCATTTCTGCTAAAATTACATGGAACTAAGGAATAGTTAACTTTCTGAATGAATAACCTTGTACAATTTAGATAGTAACATCCACTGCAGTATTTCCTACAGGTGGTAATTGCTTTTGATTGTTTGTCTAAGATTTTAGAGAGTTCACAAACCAAAAAAAGACAGCATAGGAAATAAAACATAAAAGTTAAACTTACAATATTATAAATAAGTCATGAGTCACAACTCGATTAAACAGATGATAGGAATTAAGGAGTCACTGCAACTACTGGGCTAGCTCAGTGTGCAATGCAAGAACGTAATTGTGGATAAAATGAAAATAAAATATCCCAACCAGCTGACCTTCGCAGGGAAGTCAAAGGCAGCCAAGAATAACTTTAAAAATACTGGGATCATCAAAATAGTAAACATAAGTACCAAATGAAACAGAGCTCTCCAATACAATTTACTGCTCACAGTGAGAAACACTGTAATAAAAAGAGCTTAGATACAGTCATTAAAGTTTGTTTTCAGGGGTTTTAAAATACATGTGTAACAATGACTAACATTTAGAGGTCTCACACTTCCTAAATCCCCCCAGCAGCTGCACAGACACTGTAGGTGGTCTAGTAGACTGCTTCAGAGAATGGCTTAACTATTAAAAAAGCCAACGTGATGCCTGACCACAATTTATTATATTACAGTAGTCTGAAGATGGCCTAGAATGGAAAATATACTATTTTTCCTTGGAAATTAATAGATTTACAAACTGGAAACCTTCCTCTTGACAATCCCACAGTGTATAATGAACTAAACACAGCAGTGCCTCAGAAATGTAACCAGTCAGCTAACTTCTGGACACACATTTATATGTTACTATTTACTAGCTAGTCAGCTGATAAGCAGTAAAGATAACTGTACAACAGCTTAATAATTAGTCTTTAGCAGACCACATACACAAATAACATAAATTAGACAAAGTACAAAACCGCAGCCTTATCTTAAATAAAAACTGACTTGGAAAAAGATAGTAACTGAACCAGTTATTCTTTCCCCTGAAGTTTACTCCTGCCTGACTGTAAAAGTTACAGTTTTTATAATTAAGTTCAGTTAGTTCCCTACTTACCACACAGGATAGCGAATCAGTACTATGTAGAGCAGTAACAATGAACCCCTACTACACATGCTATATCCATTACAGATTTAGATAGGCCTCAGTGAAAACAAACCACTGTGATCTTAAAGTTCATTTAGAACCAAGCCGGAAAAGGGTCTGACATTAACACAGAATATCAGCACTTTGTATGTGTAATATCAGTGCAAATAGTGTAAGTGATGCTCTCCAAAAATGTCACTGGTCTCCACTAGTACTAGCAATGTAAAAATAGATTACAAAATCTCAGCTTGTCCCATTTTCCTAACTTAAACAGTAAATAAATGTAACTTTTTTCCCTAGCTCTACTGCATCTCTATTAATGGTCTCTATAGGAAGGGAACTAAAACCCAAGCAGGCTTGGCAAAGGAGAGCATGGACTAATTTGACTCTCATGAAGTCTCACCTAGGTAGATAAAATCCAGATCTTGGAGTACAGTAGCCCCCACAGATTTGTTATCACAAACTGAGGTAGTGCTAGGTATCATCAGCACCCACTCAGATGGCAATCTGAATCTTGGCGTCCCAATTTCCTGCAGTAGTATTTCTGATTACCCAAATGTTGTTAAAAAACTCTTTTTCTTTGTTTTGATTTACATTTTTTAACTAAAGTTCTTTTTCTGTTAGCAACACTGAAGGGCAACATTACCTAGCTCATAGCATCCGTTAAATTAATTGCATATTTTACTGTGTTACCTGCCATAATTAATATAATTTCTAGTGATGTCCAACAACTTACTTTGGGCAACATTGGTGTAACTCTCTTCTTTTTCTTTTCTGAATTAGGATCATCCAGCAAATCTGGCTCAAAAGTGTAGAGCTCTGTAAGTTCATTCATGGTAAAATGACGTTCCACTTGCTGTTGGTCGACAACCCGGAAAGACAACGACTGCTTTGTTACCTGACGATCATAGATCTTATCTTCCATTGTTCCCTAAAAAAAAACCCAAAAAAGATACTCACTTTCATATAACTGCTGGGTATTCTTGTCATACAGAGAAAAGAATTACTAGATATGAAAGAGCTAGAATAATCATGCAACAGTGCTCTCTGTTTTCCTCACTTCTCTGACCCTGTATCTACAAAGCTACCTGAAAAACTTCACTGAGAAAAAAACAAACTAAAAAAAAACACCTCCTGGAAGTGAAAACAAAGTAATATGATTTGTGTAGCTGACAGAGGTCATCTAGCTAATGACTAGAGTAAGAAATATATTTTTTTTCAGTAGTGTTTTGATGATATCCATTTTTCCTTCAATTCCCCAAAGCGGGATTATGACAAAAACCTGCAGTTTCCACAGCATGTGCCTTATTTTGCTGCTTTATGCAGTCTATAAAAGGAAAACAGATACTGTATCACTGGGGTGGAGAGGAGAGGGGAAGTGGTCGAGTCTAATTCATGACAGCTGTGTATGAAAAAATTAGAGCCCTGATGAAAAGAGGAATATTTCTTTTTTTTACAAAAAAGATGACAACTATGATAAGTATGAGAACAGCACAGCCTGTTCTGAACATCATGATTTAAAAAGGATATCAACAGTTCAGAAGTACACATAGAAAACTACAAAAATAGACTGAAACTTGCAGAAAAAACCCATGTCTGACAGCAGCCTGCTATATTGTAACCTATTTAAGGTGGCAAGTAAATAGTGACTTGATCAAGTTAAGTACTGTTACTAGGAAAAGGTCTTCAGTCTACTCTATGACACCTGAAGAACCAGACAATGAAGCAAGGTATTTCCTAACAGAAATAATAGCATTACACAGGAAACGATGTCAGCTGTTATTTATTTTACCAGTCTTTCCCCGAAGAGCTCTTGCAGTGACCAAATACTGCTACTAAATTAGGGCTGGAAAATGACTGGATCAGTGTGGACCACTACAGACTTCAACTGAAGTCCAAATAGCTACAGTTTACAAATTTGATTGCAGGACCAGAATATCACAAAATACCAGAGACAAACCTACCTGAGCCAAAAACCTGTACACAAACACAGGCTTGTTCTGCCCAAAACGGTAAACCCTGAAAATGCTCTGGATGTCATAGGAGGGGTTCCAAGAAGCATCAAAGATGATTACTCTATTAGCAGCCACCAGGTTAATTCCGAGGGAACCTGCTTTAGTAGATATAATGAACAAGCGGCCTCTGGAACAGAGAAAAGTGGCAAAAATTTTAGTATTTTGGAAAACAACTACAGTTCCCATGTTGCTGTGCTACTCTGGAGTTGTTCATACACTGACATAACTCATAAATGTCATTAAAATTCTGTATTAAGCATAAAACAGTTGTAGACTTTACAAGAACAACACTTTTAGCAAAACATGCACTCCCAAAAATACAGATCCAGGCCTTCTGCAAATCAACTCCTAACAAAAACTGGTGGCTAAGAAAAAATTTTTGATTTTGCATTTTCAAACTCTAATAAAATTCGTTATATCAAATTCAACCATGATTTCCAATAGGCACACCTCATGCTACTGAAACTGCTTTCTGGCTAGCAAGCTTTCAGTATATTCCCAGAATGACACCATCTCTTTGATGCTTATGTTTTTTTTGAGTACTGTCTCACTCAGGTTCAATTTAAAATGAACTCTTGACAGATACCTGAAGAATAATCTATTTAGGAGTGTTAATACTGAGTTAGTTTACTTGGCTCCATCTTTGTTTTTTGTTTTGTTTTGTTGTTGTTTTTTTTACACAACTTAACTGTGTATTTTATTTTTTAAACAAAGCTAAGCAAGATGAAGCTCCTTATCTTATTAAACCTGTACAAGTTTGTATCTATCAGCCTTGAAAGTCCCATCTTCTATGAGCAGTGGATGGCTGGGAGACAATTCTGGAGATAACTGAGAGAGCTGCATGCTTCTGACTGGCCCAGTAACTGCTGTCTCCTGGGAAGACACCACAGGGCTGACCTTCCTGGGTCTTTATATTCTTTAAGTTACTGTAATAAAATGAATGTGTGTGATTCAAATTGGTTACACTGTAAACAAGAATAAAACCAGCAAGGACTCAAACCAAACAAGTACAGAAGTACAAACAGATGATAATCTCAGAAAACCAGAAACCTACTGGTGTTGCACACTTTTGGTCCAAGTTCTGCACCAGACAACACTGTGATGTTTATTTGCCCAGCCTTAAGAGGCCATTAAGCCAATTCAAGTGACTAAGAAATAGGGAACAAAAGAAAGAGTAGGGGGATAATTAAGCGTATGTATCAGAAGAGATCTCACCTCACATTAGTTTCATCATTGAATTCTTCAGCCCATTTCTTCCTTGACTGAGCAGTTGTTGAACCATCTAAGCGATAGTAATCGATGTTTCGGAACCATTTTCCTTCACCTATAAATATATTAGTCAAATTATTAAAATGCTGGTTGTGTAGTAACCAGACTGATAATACCAGATATACACAATTCTCTAAATAGCAAAAGAACTATGGAACATAAAATATACTGTCTTCTGACATTTTAAAGCCATGGGAGAGGACTACAGGTTATTCAAGATATAGAATATTTTTGGAGGATACAGGTGCTTGCCACAGGCATGCATTGAAAACTACATAGTGAAACTTGCATAATAAAATATAAAACATGTAACATAACAGAAAAGAATAGCAACTGCATTTGTGATTACAATGATCATCCACAAGCCTGCAAGAGCTCCTACAAACCTCAATCAATTTTTGTCCACACAACACATTATCAATATAGTTTTTTTACCTTGCAGAAAGTATCCAGCATCTATCACTACCTGTTTCGTCCTAAGATTGTTATTTTTTACAAAAAGATCAATTGATACTCAATTAAGCTCTGCCAAGCAGCTTCATACAAATGGGAACTTAAAGATATGAATTTATAATCAAATTATGTTTCAAGGTTACATTTTAAGTGAAGTATTTTAAAGACCTGAGCTTTCTGGGGGCAGTTAATTTTATTTTTCACTATTTGTAGAGATATGCCTTAACTTGGAGCCAAAGTTCTTTAAAAAAAATAACTGGACATAATCTTTAGGCATTATAGTATTAATTGTACTTTTCTAATTGATCTGTGTAGCTTCACATTACACAATTATTATAAATCGGTCTCTCCCATAAAAATAGCATTCATAAGTAAACGCTCAAAAGGGATTTCAGAAGTCAAGGTCTAATCATTTTGGAATTGAAATTCAGAAAAATATCTGAGTTTAATTGCCCTGTGAGGTATGGCAACTTCTTGTCAGATGGGGAAAAAATAACTACAGTTGATAGAAGATTTTGTCTTCTGTCCCCGATCCACAAGTAACCTTTGATTTTCTTTGACAATCAAGGTATATACACACAAAATGAACCCCACTCTGCAACCAACTATAAAGATAACAGCACTTGTAGGAGACAGCACTGCTCAACACAATCAATTATGAGAGACTGCCGAGTTTTGCCAGCAAGGTCTATGGTGAATCTTGCTAGGATACATGGTCTAATTGCTTACCAAAAGAAAGACCACAAACAAAAATCTTCATCTGAGTATGGTACTGCTACCACTAAGCCAAAATTTTCCTATGCAACTGTTTAACATGTTTACACTTAGAAATAACATTTTGAAGGAATGGCAGATTCAAAACAACGCTTGAATCAGCACATACTGGGAACTGAAACTTCACATAAAGATGAACTGCATTATCAGGAGCTCTGGAAGGATCTCTCAGAGTCACCAGAAGAAACATCCTACACACAGGACATGTCTGGCTAGTGAGAAATTCCTCACCAGATGAGGATCACTAGGATAAGAAGTAATTCAGTACCTTGCTTCCTTGTGAGATCCACAAAACAATCTACTGCACTACATATAAAGCCTAAATTCACATTTGTCTGTTCTACACACTGTTTTAAAGTAGTCTAATTTTCTTTCATTATCTCTCTCCCAGTAGGAAGGAGCAGAATTTGCCATGCACCAGCATACAACATCACTTTTGTACAGAATGTAACAAAATGCCTTCTCTCCATTCTGATGAACAACACTTAATCTGCTCAGGCTACGTTAAGCAGAGATGATACAGAATGAAATCAGAAACAAGAGTGCATAACAGGATAGCAGAGACCACCTGCAGCAGAGACCAGTAATTCTGCCAACTTCAGGAATACTACAGGGCATATAGTGCTTCTCACAAAAACAATTACTTCATATTAATTCCCTTTGGACTGAACAGGGACTTGTAAAGGAGTTATTAGCTTTGCAATTGTTCAAGGTGACACTCACCTTTATAAATAGGAGGTTTGTCTTTGTCAGTTTTCTCCCTGTTGGCCAGCTCCAGAAAATCTTCTATCAAATCCAGAGATATTAAGGACTGGCTAAACACTAGGCTGAAAACAGAAACAGGGAAACACAAAATTCACCTCTGAGGCTATTTTAATTATCGTCTTGCATTATTTTTCTTCCCTCCTCACTCTGATACTATCTCTAGAAAAAAAAAAGCCTTTCTAGACAGAAAAATTTTGATGGAGAACACACATGTATGGGAGGCCTCCCTGATAAAAATTTATGTAGCAAACACATTTGCTTGAGAAAGCTGAGCTGCAGCATTATGAAGACAGAATGAAGAACACTATCAGACCAGCATATTTATAAGGTCAGTAAAAATACTTCAGAACTGACTTACACTTTGTCTCCAAGCTCCTCTGCCATTCGAAGAATTTCAAAGAGAAGAACCATTTTCCCAGAATGTTCCAACACTTCAGCATCTGTATCAGTGACAAAATCTTTGTACCAATCTGGTGCTGGACTACCAGGATTGGAAGAGGATGTAGCTTTGCCTATAAAAAACGAAGTAAAAAGAAATTTTAAAAGACAAAGGCATGGTCTCCATCCAAATGCTTTGAAACATCTGACATCGCATGCAAAAGAAAGGGAGTAGTCTTTTGGGATCTTTAAGGAAGTTTGTTATCTGCTAACACACTATTACACTAACAAAACCTGCAAAATACAATCCTATTTTAACACATTACTATCCTGTAAGCTTATTTTGTTAATTTGATTTAACACCTTACAATAGAGAAGTACTAGGACAAATTACAAAGTTCAGGTGCATTGCAAAAATATACTGAATGAATCATGCTCATGGCAAAACCAGTCTGCTGGGATCTCTATCACCCACTCAACAGTCAGACACAGGCCATGCCAATCTTTAATGATAATCCCATTATGTTTATTCCGAATTCATCCAGGAGAAATGTATTCAGCATTACAATCAGAACCAGGAAGGCAGACAAGAACTATTAATTATCTTGATGTGTATTACTTAATTTTATATTTCTATGCTCTCAAAATTAAGACCTTTTACATCAGTGATAAAATTTGACTAAATTTTCTAACACTAGCTTTTATCACATAAAAACTTTGATCTACTTAAATACATAATAGAAACATTCTACCTCATGAACAATTCAAAACATTTACCTTTTCAGACCATACAACACAAATCAATTGTGAAACACCAGTAAATTTCAGCAGCAAGCTAGAACTGGTATTAACAGAACTCACATTCTAACCTTCCTTCATACAAGCTTTTAAAGAATTTGTTTTCCAATATCAGAACAAAAATGAACCAAGTTAACCAAATAAGAGACCTAGACATGCTGTAGGGAAATCCTATGCACCCCTTTTATCTATTTCTGTCTCCACTCCTGAACTTTACAGAAGGGCCATCAGGAACTGCCATGAGATAGAAAGTTTGCCCACAAACCTGGGCTGGTACAGCAGCAAATGTTTGTTTAGAAATTCTGGACCCACATTAAAACTGAACAGGGCTGCATGAGAGGGAAACATTTAAGTGATTCAGAGACTCATCCTGCCTGTAACACAAGTAATTACTTTAACACAATTAATCTGTATGTGTATGTATTTTGCACACACATACACACAATCTTCCCTTACACATTTACAGTTTGTTTGTCATCAGGTTGAGGACAAAAATAAAATTCTCACTGAAACTGTCTCCAAACAATAGTTTGTTTAGGGAAAGTGATTAGACACAACAAATGACAAATCAGAAAATTAGCTGTATGATGCTAGATACAAAATTATTAAGGGGAAATTAAAAAAAGAAATGTACAGATACAAGTAGTTTGAATAGGTCCTTAAAAGGATCTTGTATGATATCTGCATTATATCTGTTCGTTTAACATTCACTTCAAATTCCAGGTGTAACAGTGGATGACATGCCTTTCTTAATCTTTCCAATAATCTTTCACCAATGTGTTAAAAAAAATAAATGAAAAGCAGCATCGTTCCTCTGGTAACTTTTTATCGTTTTGTACTTATGAATTAAAAAAACATTAACTGTGCAGCTTCCCTGCCACAAGACCCTGAAGCTCTAAATTGATGTCCCTTGTTTTTCCATGATAAATATATTAGAAGTAGCAGGAGCTGTAATCATAGAAGAAGTTAATGGAATTAAGAAATTTGACATTTTGCAACAAAGCAGAATTCCTGACAGCCCCCTGAAATGGCCTTTTGCAAAATGAAGCTGCCTTGTATTTTATGGACTGGTGTATTATACTCACCTTCATCTGATTTGTTAACAGATGAGGGGTTGTTTACAAGTTCTTCTGCATTTCCTTCTCCACCTCCACGAGATCTTGAATTCCAGACCTTAATGACTTCAACATCATTATCACTGCCACTTCCACTTGAGCTACACT